CCTTATAATCTAAAGCTCTCTTGAGGCATTTGCTACAGTAATGAGAAGTGGTAGTTTATCAAGGCCAGGTTACTAAATTTGAGTTGGAAATATTAGAACCTGCCGTGGCACTTCCAAGAAGGTTACATGTTTACGCGTCGTATACCTGGAACCATTTTAAGGTAAACTTAGAGGGATTGATATCTTTCGTATGCCTAGCACGCAGACGAGATTTTATAATTTCATAGTTTTAAACGGCCTAAATACCTTAACTCGCTTAGAAAACAACGAGCTATAACGAAATGGGCACAGAAATAAAATCTAACATTATTAAATTATTTTTCTTATTTGCATAAAAGCGCGGGGTGAAACCCGCGGGTATAAGCTAGTAAAATAAATAAAGTAAATAAAAATAAAAAAATATAAAAAATAAAAAATAAATATATTTTTTTCCTATTGATATTTTATGTCCAAAAGTAGCTAGTTACAGCAAATGCAGGGTTAACCACCCTTGACTACATCTAATGCAGAGGTAACCACCTTTGACTATTTCGCGGCCATCGCCATACAAACATAGTTAGCTTTCGTCAAAGGATATATACAGATAATAAGTGACTTTTAGCTCCTTCCTAATCAACTTAAAATTAGCTCATAGTTAGATCCATTTCCTGCAGGGCATTTTTGTCAATGTGTTTTGTACTTGAGTGCCGTTTTTGGGTATGTGTTGTGTACATGTTTATTTATAAACGTTTGTGTTCCTATCTTTTCGTACGTGTTTATTGATATACTAGCTTATACCCGCGGGTTTCAGCCCGCGCTTTTATGCAAATAAAAAAAATAATTTAATAATGTTAGATTTTATTTCTGTGCCCATTTCGTTATAGCTCGTTGTTTTCTAAGCGAGTTAAGGTATTTAGGCCGTTTAAAACTATGAAATTATAAAATCTCGTCTGCGTGCTAGGCATACGAAAGATATCAATCCCTCTAAGTTTACCTTAAAATGGTTCCAGGTATACGACGCGTAAACATGTAACCTTCTTGGAAGTGCCACGGCAGGTTCTAATATTTCCAACTCAAATTTAGTAACCTGGCCTTGATAAACTACCACTTCTCATTACTGTAGCAAATGCCTCAAGAGAGCTTTAGATTATAAGG